ATTCACAAGTTAAATTAAAGGGAAAACAGGTAAAATTCAAGCATCTGAAAATTTGGACTCTTCATTTTTATTTATTCTTGCTCTGTTAATGGTAATGCGGGTTTTGTTTAGGTTCGAGCGGGTACATTGATGCGTTTCTTTATTTTAATTTGACTGATCGATCGGGAAGTCAGATCATCAGCGGCGGCGCCTTGATTCTTCGTGACGGAGCGTAGATGTCTGGGCCACTCGATCGATTCGCTAGGCCTTGTAAGTTAATTTATTTCGTTCCTTGCGCTGATTTTACTATTCTAGGGTTTCACTGTAGCTTCAGTTTGGTTGCTTAGAAAAAATTTGGTAGTGCAGATAGAAGGAAGAGAAATTAAACTCGATTCGACAAAAGAAGAACGGAATTCCATTCTTGTTTAGGTTTTGGACATAACATTGGAATAAACACTATTTTCTTTTTCTTTAATTATTAAATTTTCTATTTATTTATTTTCTTCATTTCTGTGCTTCTTATTTTGGTATTGTTTTTGCCATGCTTTTTTGATTTTATGTTTTAGGTTTTCTGAAGAATTTTTAGAAATTGATATGAAAATAAGAAAACAAATTGGATTTTGATTTGTACAATTATTTTTCTTCCTTTATCCGAAAGATCTTATTACGTTACCAGGTTGTAATGCTTTGATAAATGCTCTGCGGCAGGCTTTGAGGGGTTTTCAGGTAGTGATGAGAGGAGAGAAAGGAAATCTGATTTCGAGAACTCAGAGGATGAAAGACGCACAAGAATTGGATCCTTGAAAAAGAAAGCGATAAATGCATCTACTAGATTTAAGCATTCTCTCAAAAAGAAGAGCAGTAGAAGGAAAAGTGATGGCCGTGTCAGCTCTGTATCAATCGAGGATGTTCGTGATGTTGAGGAGCTACAAGCTGTTGATCAATTTCGACAAGCATTGATTATGGAAGAACTGCTTCCAGAAAAACATGATGACTATCACATGATGTTGAGGTGCTTTCCTTCTCTTAACATTATTTCATGTTCTTACTAATATCGTTCACCATTGGATAATTCTTTTTTAATACCACAATGCAAGTTTTATTGGTTCAGTCCTCTTGTCAAGGTTGCAGTGGACAGCCTTATTACCAAACATTGTATCTATAATATATATTAATTTCCGTAATAATTTGTAAATGGTATGGTTCATGGTTCACTGATTTGGCTTGCTAAGGGTGACCAATAAGAAGTATAAGTCTATTGGTGGTGCTTCTTGTTTTACTTTTTCAACACATGTCATTTGCTTTCTGCTTGCTGACTGCTTGAAGCCTTCTGCATCATTTCTGGTGGACTCCTCTTTTTACTTGCCTTGCCAACTTTGAATACTTTGATAAGTAGTAATTAGTTTTTTGCCTTATATTTATGTAGGTTCTTGAAAGCAAGGAAGTTTGATATAGATAAAGCTAAGCACATGTGGGCAGATATGCTCCAGTGGAGAAAGGAGTTTGGTGCTGACACCATCACGGAGGTAACTGTATATAATAATTTGCCTGAAATAGTTTTGGATGTTATCCATGTTTTTTCACTGCATTTATCTATTACTTTTCAGGATTTTGAGTTCAAGGAGTTGAATGAGGTTTTAAGGTATTACCCTCATGGTCATCATGGTGTTGATAAGGAGGGAAGACCTGTTTATATTGAAAGATTGGGAAAAGTTGATCCCAACAAACTGATGCAAGTTACAACTATGGATCGGTATGTAAAATACCATGTACGGGAGTTTGAGAAGGCCTTCACAGTGAAGTTTCCTGCATGTACAATTGCAGCAAAGAGGCACATAGATTCAAGCATGACAATTTTAGATGTTCATGGTGTGGTATGTTTCTTGTAATCACATGTTGCCTTTGCTGATACCTGAATATTTGGCTAGATAACCACTGATTTTTTTTTACTTTTCATCTATGTATTAGGGCTTTAAGAATTTTACCAAGTCTGCAAGGGACCTGATTATGCGACTGCAAAAGATTGACGGTGACAATTACCCTGAGGTGTGCCATCTCAATGTGCTTGGAGGATGAATTATGAAATCATGCTTCTGTCAGACTTTTATTTTATTTTTATGTCGACCCAAACTTCTATGTTTTGGCCTTTTAAATTTTGCAGACTCTTCACCAAATGTTTATCATCAATGCTGGACCTGGGTTTAGGCTGCTGTGGAACACTGTAAAGACATTTCTAGATCCCAAAACGACTTCCAAGATTCATGTATGTTTATACTTTTCCGCAATATTTTGAAATTAACCGTACTTTCTTTTTTGGCTTTTGACTTCTCATACCATTTGGTGTTGGTGATTTATAATTATGCACATATATTTTGTATTGACTTTAGGTTCTTGGAAACAAGTACCAAAGCAAATTGCTTGAGATTATTGACGCCAGGTAACTGTGCTTAGAACTTTCCTGACATGATGCATTATCTTTATCTTTGTTTTACTCCTTTTTGTTTTTGTTTTTTTTTTAAATTTAATATATTCCGCTCTATATTGCCTCATTCTGTCTAAAAGCTTATGATGATTCTTAATATCCTTTCAGTGAGTTGCCAGAATTTCTGGGTGGTAGCTGTACATGTGCGGAGCAGGGAGGTTGCCTTCGATCTGATAAGGGGCCTTGGAAAAATCCAGAAATATTGAAGGTGATAAATTGGCCTTGGTATTTGTTATATGTTGTTAATGCTGTTATTTTCAAGTGCTTCATCAGCATACTTGTTTCTAACAAAGAAACACTTTGTGGCTCGTGTTTTCTCTCAGATGTTTCTTAATGGTGAGGCACAGCGTGCCAGACAAGTCGTAAAAGTTTTGAACAGTGATGGGAACGTTATTGCTTATGCTAAGCCACAATATCCAATGGTATATGATCTTTCTAACACTCAATGGTCCTTATCTATATCCAATGGTATAGATATTCCTGTTTCAAGGTAAGATTTTTGCATTATCTCATCTCTTATTGTGCTGTGTGAAGCAGCTGAAAGGTAGTGATACATCCACAGCTGAATCTGGATCAGAAGCTGAAGATATTGCATCCCCAAAAGCGATGAAGAGTTATTCACATCTTCGGCTGACCCCTGTTCGTGAAGAAGTGGGTTTTTGACCTTTTAATCTTTAATAGTGGTTAGGATGTTGAATTACTTTGTTTGCAGTTGATAATATATCAGATTACATTCATTATAAGTAATATAAATTGTTGGATAGGTAGAGATCCTAACATGGAATTCTGCTGATTATCACGATGACATAAAAGGGTACTTCTGCATTATGCATCTTATTGGGTTTTACACCCAAGTTTAGTCATTGACATTTTTGTGCAAAGTTGCTAATCCTCTTGTTTGGCTTTGTGAATTATTCAGGCTAAGGTTGTTGGGAAAACAAGCTATGCTGGTAACTTCTCAGGCTATGATGAATATGTTCCCATGGTCGACAAAGCTGTTGATTCTAGTTGGAAGAAGCAAAATGCCCTACTGAGGCCTTCTGCTCCCAAAGGTTAATAAATATAACCTTATATACCGTGTTACCTTTTAGATGCTGTGTGTCTTCTTAAAAGCTGGTCCTGGGTCAACAAAAAAACACTATTTTTATCAGATGTAACTTCCTTTTTTCTTATATACATAAAAAGAAGAAAGAAGTTTTGGGTTGTCACTGACATACAAACATTTTTCAATGCTTTCTTAGACCAATTACAACATGATTAAGAACATGAAATGCTATTTTGCAATTCAGGTACATTAACGTTGCCTGAAACTCCTAAGACCCCAGAAGAAATTCGTGCACGGATTTTGGTGACTGTTATGGCTTTCTTCATGACACTTTACACCGTCCTCCGGTCTGTAGCATGCCATATAACTAGAAAGCTTCCTGACGCTGTTTCTGATCATTGTCAAAATGTTACTCAACTTACCCCTGATGCAACACGAAAGGAAGAGTGTCGCCCCCCTTCTCCAACCCCTTCTTTTACTCAGGCAGATCTTCTATCTTCTGTGCTCAAGAGGTTGGGTGAGCTTGAGGAGAAAGTTGATACATTACAAGCAAAGCCATCTGAGATGCCTTATGAGAAGGAGGAATTGCTGAATGCTGCTGTATGTCGTGTTGATGCCCTAGAAGCGGAGCTAATTGCTACCAAGAAGGTATTGTTGGCAATATTTGTTTTGTCAACTGATTAATTACTTCTTTTAGCAAGCTTGCAAGGCTCCTTTCTTGCTTTCATTTTGCTGAAAATTTTAATATTTTTTTTCTTTTTTGCATGTATGTTCTTTTTTTGAATAGGCTCTTCATGATGCTTTGATGAGGCAAGAAGAACTGCTTGCTTACATAGACAGTCAAGAGGAAGCCAAACTGCGGGTACTTTATTTCATTGGTTTTACTATTGTTTATGTAACTTTCATAGTTGTTATGCATAATTTTTGATGGTTACGTCTGATACAAATGCTTGTATTCTGTTGTGGTGGTGACTTATATTCCTCTATTTCAGAAAAAGAAGTTTTGCTGGTGATATGCCTTGCTGATCGAGAGACTACAAATACCATTTCCGTGTTTTGGTTTCATATCTGTTTTACCGTTTCAACATACAACAAACCTATGTTGATCTTCTGGAGGGTATACAGTTGTAAGCAATATAATTGTCTGTCTGATAAGAATCAAATACGAATCCTATTGCCCAGAAATGCACAAGAACCATTATGGAACTGTATTTCTGTTGGCTCATTTCATTTCCCTTCTCTCTTTCCGTGTAATGTTTGAAATTGTTGCACTTCTTAAGTAAAGTGTTTTATATATATGTTGCTTTTGGAACTTTATTGTCAAAAGTTTGGTTTGCTGAGTTTTAAACTTTTATATAAGGATTCCATTTTTGTAAGCCCCCTAATGAAGACCTGGCTTATGATGTCAGAACCTGGTTTCCAAGGGTGAAACTCAGCTCATTTGTTGCTTTAGTGTTCAACATACAATTGTAAAAATTAAAATGTTACAACCAACTACAAGGTTCTAATCTCTTAATCGGGCATAGATGGAAAATAAAAAGAAGGAATGATATTAAAAAGATGAACTGCATTAGTAGATTATACTTACACGTGCAACATACCTTAGATGGTAGTAATCTTGTTGGTAGTGGTGTAATTACTTCCTGATGTTTAGAAGCCTAGATACTAGGATCTGGTCGGCAGGAACTTGAGAAAGGGACTGATTTGATCGGAAACCTCGCCAATCTTCTCTGTAGCCAAGATTTTACTGTTCTTTTCTTCAATCATATTACCACATTTTTAACTTTTTCAGACCATTACAACCAAAACCAGCCAAGACCCCCATTTCTCTAAATTTATTCAACATATACACAAAAAATGCCAAACTCCATAGTTTATAGGGTCCTGGAATTGAATACTTTTACAAAGCAAAACAATGTTCAAAAGAAATTCGTCTGTGGGGCTGAACATGACCAACGCCACCCATGTCAAGTTCGCCTTACCAGCGGAATGGATTCTGCAAACACAATCCAAGAAAATGAGTTGTGAAAAACACCTCTATGTGTAACTATAGTTTGCATGATCTTAACTACTGAAGCAGAGTATAAAATGTTGATAACTTACAAACTTCTTCTTCTTCTTCTTCTTCTTGTCGATATAGGTTTGAAGCTCCTGCTGTTTACCAAGGGCTTCCTCAAGTGCCTGCATAAGCAAGGAAGGAAACGAACAATTAAGAACTTTTATACTCTTGGGTTTCCTAGCTGTGCAAATTCTTTTATACTTGAAGCATCTAGCTATCTGTTTCAAGGGTTCTTCAGGATTTGAGTTCCAAGATAACCAAGCTGGACGTATGTACCTTCTTAGCTGCGGATAGCTCTTCTTCCAGGGTGCAGACCCTGCTTAAAGCAGCATTCAGCATCTCTTCTTTCTCGGGTGGCATGACTGCTGGTTTCCTGATGAGAACACTCACCTTCTCTTCCAACTCAGCCATACGCTTCATCATGGAAAAGTAGTCAGCGCTAGTGATAGGTGGCAACTGACGGCCATGGCCTGCGATCATTGGATTAGCATAGTAAACTTGTCCACCGTACAAGGCAGCTTCACTTAGTTTCCGGGGCATGTTGCGGGACAGGCGAACCATGGTTACTACACCCATAACGAAGGCCATGATTCCTCCAAAAATGTTGGTGCTCACTCCTTCAGTAACCCTGCTATCATCCTTCACAGGGTAACAATCTGCAGTTTTAGGAGGGAAAAGTGGATAAATGAATGGTGTTATTTCGTATTCTTAAACTCAAGATCATTTCTCTGAATGTAAATCAACCTTAAAGATTAGATTCATCTACTCAAGGAATAAGCCCTTTAGCAAAAATATCTACCTTCGGACATGGCAAACTTGTTATCTCCCACTGATTTAGGCCAGGAAGCATCTACACCCTTGTCAACCATGGGAATAAATTTGTCATAGGCATAGGAATCCTGGCACTTTTTCTTGATAGGAGACTGCAATATGTGACGACAAAGTACTTGCATTAACAAATGGGACTAAAATTGACAGAGAAAGTGAAAAGCAGAAACTGCAATCTGTCGTGTTAAAATATTTAAACAATTCCATTGTAGTTGCTAGTTCACAACTCCCTAGTTTGAAAAATTTATAGTCGACAAAGTATTTGAAATTGACTAATTGGAATATTTAGCTGCATGAATCATGATCTATCTCGATGCAGGTTTTGGCATGGCATGATATTGATAAACTTACTTCAGGAACAGGAGATAATGGTGGATTCTCTGCATGCCATTCCGCAGATTCCATAGCCGGTTCTGCGTCAAAGGAATGCTTCCCCTTCATGTCCAGAACATCAAAGAAAAAGTTAGGCTTGTAATTTAGAGAGACTAGATATTGAGGCCTGGGATAATTTGTGAAAATTGAAATGGACAGAGCCATGGCTAGGAGTAACTACCTCTCGGCATGCTTTCTCATCAACGCCTGACATATTTCTCCTTGTGCACTTAGCCTCGCCATTTTGAACCATCTAGCTCATCACAATGAAGTACTCCATCAATTCATCATTCCAAGAATAATGAAAAATAGATATAACATCAATCAATCATTAGGTGCATACCTTCAATATTTCAGGATCCTTCCATGGACCCTTGTCAGAAGTCATGCAACCGCCTTTGTCAGCACAATTACAGGTACCGCCCAAAAATTCTGGCAGCTCACTGTTGAAAAATTAAAAATAAATAAATGTTTGAACATCATAGTATGAGAAACTCTTCCCCACCAAAAACTGATAAGACATTAGACAGGTTAGCTTTGGTAGACAGAAACAGGAATGGATTCGATTGGTCAAGAAGGCACTCACTTCGCATCAATTACTTCAAGCAATTTGCTCTGGTATTTGTTACCCAAAACCTGGTGAATATAGCATAAAGTTGTTTAGCAAAATTTTTGGTATCACAATCTAATCTAGTTTCAGGTAAATTAGTGATTCATACTTACATGGATTTTTGCAGTGGTCTTTGGGTCAAGGAACGATTTAACTGTGTTCCATAAGAGCCTAAATCCAGAGCCAGCATTGATGATAAACATGCGGTTCAGAGTCTACAATATAGAAATATTCTATTAGCTTCATCTTGACTGGAAAAAACTTGCGTGCTAGAAGTAGACCGAGAATCTGAGGGACACATTAGTTTGATCTTATGGTGTTAATGAATACCTCAGGATAGTTGTCACCATCAATTTTCTGAAGGCGCTGGAGGAGCTCCCTCGCAGCCTTGTTGAAGCTTTTAAGCCCCTGAAAGTTCATTCATGATGTAAGAATTGAAAGTGAAATGAAACAAAATAGGGAGAAAAAAGTTTGAAATTCGCTCCATCTGAGTACATAAGCAGCAAATATGAAATCTCACATACCACTCCTTCAACATCCAATATGGTAGTGCTCTGACTGATGTGCTTTTTTGCTGCAATTGATGCAGCAGGAAACTTAATAGCAAAGGTCTTCTCAAACTCCTTTACGTGGTACTTCAGATAGCGGTCTATTGTTGTTACTTGAGTCAGCTTGTTAGCGTCAACTTGACCCAGTCTTTCAATATACACAGGTCGTCCATCCTTATCAACTCCATGATATCCTTGTGGATAGTACTTAACTACTTCACTGTATTCCTTGAATTCAAATTCCTTAGCAGAGAAATTGAAAGAAGAAAATTCAGATGCGTTAATGAGAGAGACAAATTAGAGGAAGTTGCACCGTATTGTGTGCAATATGGAAGCAATCTTATTCAGTGTTTTTCTTTTCTTTTCCATTTTTTTTAACCAATACAATTTTATACCTCCATGATTGTGTCAGCACCAAAATCCTTCCTCCATTGGAGCATATCAGCCCACATTTGCTTTGCTTTGTCAAGATCGAATTTCCTGGCCCTCAGAAATCTGTCATCAACTAATAAGTTAATGATCTAGATTTTCATCCAAAGTTAGTATGCAGCAGAGCAATGAACACCATTCACATTGAAATTGCTCCATTTAGGTTAATTACGAACATCAGCTGTAGCATTATATTTTGTCTTATTTGTGGAAACTACGTTCATCCTGCAATTAAGTTCCTTCTAACTTCATATGCAAAGTTACTAGGAAAATGGAAATGAAAAATCTGAATACCGCTTTTCTGTTGAATTCCCTAAAATCGTTTTCTATCATATGAACTTTGACTTTAAATCTTGTGTATTAACTTTATTTTCTTTGTCCCAATTAGTGACAACTAGATGAAAAAATCGTCACCTTAGCATCATATGATGATCATCATGTTTAGCAGGTAGTAGTTCATCTAAGATAAGTGCTTGGCGGAATGCATCCACTGCCTGTAGCTCTTCAGCATCAAGGTTATCCTCTATAGCAGCAGACATAACTCTACTGTGTCTCCTAGTCTTCTTTTTAAGAGAATGCCTGAACTTGCTTGAGGCACTGATTGCCTTTTTCTTAAGAGACCCAAGCCTTGTCTTCCTCTCATCCTCAGAGTTTTCTACATCAGATTTTTCGAGACCTGTTAAAATTTGGCAAAGAAGAAGCACTTGCAAACTCAAACTTTTATCGAGAGAATAAAAGGAAAAGAAAGAATTCGTGTTATCAGTCCTAAACATATCTCATCTCCTTGAAAACAAGTAATGATGTAGAATTTTCAGTTTTTAAACTGAAGTGTTTACAATCTGTACTTGTACAAGTTCAGAACTTGAGATAATTACATGTTACAAAAGAGATAACAATTGCGGTGGATGATTCTTGATAGATGTCAATGATAAAATTAGTGCTCATCTCTATTACTATAAGAGTCCTGAAACAATATAAATCCAAAAACAATATCCCATTGCAATTTGCCATTTTAAGGTAATTGGTCCCATGGTTTTTTAATTCCTTGTGATCAATGAATTTTCATATCCAGAATTTGGTTTTCTTTAGAGTTCTATTACATCTTGAACCATAACCAATACCTCGTATGCATCTAAAGCGTGAGTGTAAAAACGAAAAAATGATTGGAAAAGCTGCAATATTTGGAGAAGACTCACCCGTTCGAGCTTGTCGTTCAAGCGGTAGAGACAAAGTGTCAGCCATGATTGAAATTTTTTGCAATACCGTTCAGCACCCGGATAAAAATGGGGCAGCAGGTTCAAACACTTGCACTCATACAAAGATGTTCAAAACTATCGCCCTTGCCAAGTAGGTTTACACCTATAATCACATCCAAACATCAAAATAAGTCATTGAAATCAAAGGAAATACGTCTTCCCATTCTTTTTGACTGTAAGAAACATGATATGGGTGCAAAGGGTTGTCATATTTGCACATGTAAAGATCAAAACACATAACATCATGATCATATACCTACCAAAAAAGGGGAGAAACAAGTATATCTATAAATGTACAATTGTAAGGGGTTGATGTCAAAATCAATGTCTATGGAGGCTCAAACAGATAAGAAGTTTGAACCATAGTTGAACACCCAAGGACAGAAAATTGTTTGGGCAAGATGGAAGAGAAAGAGAAACATTATCTTACCATATGACAGGAAGCTGAGGGCTACTAGAGAGGAAGGGAGAGGTGTATATATCACCCGAATAAATCTCTCGTATAGGTGGCCGCTAGAACATGTCTATAAAAGCCAACAGGCCAGGGTTGACTTTGACAGATTTAGTTCTTGAGGAGATAGATTCGTTTCAATGTTTACTAATCTTGAAGGGTCTAAAAAACCCTACAAAAACTTTTGTTTGAGTTTCTGTTAAAAGGATGGGCAAAGAGTTTGGCGATATGCAATGCCGCTCCATTCAAACCTTTTGGACAGTCTTGTATCTTAACTAACTCATCAACCGACTCCACCCTATTTCCCGGCAGAATTTGCTAGCTACTTCATTTCTTTAAGTAAAATGTAATTCCTTGTCATAGTCATGCACCATGTCTATATTTAGCTAGCGTCCTGTGAAATACATATATTCACATCCTATTTTGAAAACCATTGATCAATACAGTTAAATCTGTTATCTGAGTATATTATTCTGCGAATTATTCCCCTTCATACCTTTTGGATTCTTCCGTCTTTCAAAGAACATTGAGATCCCGGAATTGGAGAATCGGCATGGAAATTTGGGTTTGTCATTGTCTCAATGAATAGCAGATAAAACTTGGGTATTTGTTGTTAAGTCTCATACTTGTATGTCCATGGCTAGTTGCCAAAGTTAAACCATCAATAATCCTTCTTCAACTATGTTTTCCGCCATTGTTTTACCAGGAGTGGGTAACTTCAGATTGTGGGATCTTTAAAAAAAAAAAAAGAGAAAGATTCATATGGTGGGGAAATATTTTGGAAATCATTTTTGTCTATTCTGTAAAATATTGATGATCACTATCATTGTATATTATCCAGATTGAGTTGGTTGTTGAAGTTTGGAGGAGAAAAGTCAATTTGCTTAGTGGTGCTCCACTAAGAAATGCTCATATTCTTGCTACTGCTCAGTCGCTAACTAGCATTTCTTTTTTCATTTTACCTTATCATGCTTCTAAGCAATTGAGATATATCAATCCCAAGACAAATTAGAAAAAGAAAACTATACAAAAGATTATGTCAACTTTAATATTAATCTACTCAGAAAAGCCACCAAGCCATGATCAAAGGACAGCCTCTTCTTCAGGTTTTTTGGTACATTTTCTCTGATCATCATCAAGCACTAAGAGGCTACATGCAAGTCATGACTCCAATAATTTAATTTCAAAAACTTTGCCAACTGGCCAAAAGTGATAAAGAAAAGGATTCACCAATGATTTGTTGTTGCTATGACAGATCCTTCTTTGCTAAAATTGTAGTGCTAATGCTAGCAAAAATAAAGGGAGATATTAATTAACAAAAAGAAAAACGCATGAGCTTTGAGGTCCTCAGAAGTCAAATTTGGTTGACCTATCCCTAACAATTTAAACAAATTCATACTATTTTATTTACATTTCCTCCATTTTTAACATTGCTGAGGGGTTCAACTACTTAACTACCATATGATGCCTCCAACTTAATGGTTTGATTAGGTAGTAATTTAATTACTTGTAAATTGTTACTTATTCCACTTATAAAAGGATTATTAATTTTAATATAAAACTTCTATCAAAAATTCATAAAAAAAAGTATAACCGAGGAAACCCAAAAGAAGTGCATGTATCTGTGCACACAAATTTTGTCAAAATTAAAAAATTAGAATTTAATTAATACAAAAAATTATTTATGAGCTATCATGATTTATCTCGTATTAAATTAAAATAATTTAACGATAAATTTCAAGAGATTTTAACCATAATACATGATTCGTCATTGAAAATTTTTTAATTAACTAATATTTTATATGTGGCATGATGTAATTGGATAAAAAATCTATGGTACTCTCTATTGAAAGGACTTAATTTTGATTTTTCTCCCTTTCAAAATTAGTGGCTGATAAAAAATAATTACTACATAAAATATGTTCCAATTAATTGTTGTACTTTATGGTTCACATCCATCTAATTGTAAATTTTTGTATTATCTTTTGTTAGAGAATGCAATTCAAATCATTTCACTTGATTAAATAAAATCAAAGCCATAAACTTTCTTCTTTAAATACAAAGCAAAAGAAAAATCCTGTATTCTGCACTGAAATAAATAGTTTAGCCCAACCTTGGGTGTTATTGGGCCAATCTTTAAGGCCTTAGGCCCAGTTCTAGGACACAAATGAACTAGCCTAGCGGGACCCAAATGTATCTACGATTACAAAATCATTAAAACCCTAATTGGAATTAGGATAATTATGAGAAAATTTCTCTGATTAACGTTTACAGTTCAAATTTCCTTTTTTTGTCAACGGTAAACCTTTCTTTTCTATGTTCTAATAAAAGAACTGCCTTTTTACTCTTCTGTCTTAAAACAGTCAGCAAACGAACATCGCGTCACCTTCTCCACCAATGGCGGCGGCTGCTCACCTTCTCTCTCACTCCCCATCTCTTCCCAAAACCCTAAACCACCCTTTAACCCAAAACCCGTTTTCAAAATTCCCCATTTTGCCCCTCAAACCATCACAAAATCTCTTCAAACGCCACTCCCTCTCCCTCAAAGCTGTCCTTTCCCAAAACCCTGCCAAAACCCTCACCGCCACGTTTCAACACTGCTTCACAAAATCCCCAGATGGGTTTCTCTACTGTGAGGATACCAAGGTTCAGGACATCATGGAAAAGGTCGAAAAGAGGCCGTTTTATTTGTATAGTAAGCCTCAGATTACTAGGAATGTGGAAGCTTATACAGAGGCCCTTGAAGGTTTGAAAAATTCGATTATCGGGTACGCGATCAAGGCGAATAATAATTTCAAGATTTTGCAGCATTTGAGGAAGTTGGGTTGCGGTGCTGTCCTTGTTAGTGGTAATGAACTCAAGTTAGCTCTTCGTGCCGGCTTCGATCCAACTAAGTAATTCTCACATTGACCCATGCTTAGTTTTGTTTTTCATTTCGATTTGTTTATAACTTTATGTTTCTGTTAGCTACTTCACATTTGGATACAAAAGTAAATACATTTCCGGAGATGTAGAAAAAAACTTAATTTTTATGAATAACGAAATGCATTATTTTACTTTTATATTGAGCAATTATGTTTAAATGCGCATTGCATTTTAATCATTTGTTTATTATTTATTGATTTCGCCGTTGAATTGTTAGCAACTTTTTAGGAAGTAAATAGCAAATAGTAATAAGAATCAAGTAAAGAAGCCGCATCCAAACAAAGCCTTAGTTATTCGTTTGTTTGAATAGTTAGCTAGGTGCTATTCTGAACCTTGTCAAATTGTTTAGAGGAAATATTATACTCTCAAACGGAGTGCCTTTGCACCTCATGGCCCTATAGAGTAGGGTTCTAGGAGGGATGATCTGGATATGATCTCTCCTCTTGTCAGTTTTGCATAAAGTAACTGCTTTGGAGATTTTAGGTATGCTCTTGTGCTTGTCTGTGCTATACTTTTTAATTATACTTGGTACTGCACCCGTCATTAAAATGTCGTTCGATATTTAATGTATCGATCATGCTCTAAGATGTGCCAGGTCATGTTAAATTAGTTTTTTACTATTTGAGTAGGAAAGATTTGGTGGTTTTTGTTGACTGTTTATTTAGTTTGATTTGGTGTTGATATCTAAATGTATAGGTGTATATTTAATGGGAATGGGAAGATCTTGGAGGATTTGATAATAGCTGCCCAAGAGGGTGTTTTTGTGAATGTTGATAGTGAATTTGATCTGGAGAATATTGTAGCAGCTGCACGAATTGCTGGCAGTAAGGTTAATGTTTTGCTTCGGATAAACCCAGATGTGGATCCACAGGTAATGCTGTAGCCATAGTATTAAGTGTTAATTATCTGGAAATTGTAATGTATATGATTTGAAGTTCTTTATTTTATAACGAAGAAGATAACTTTTTAGAACTAAATTGATTAAACTTGGTTTTGAGTTTACCATAGCAAATATAGGTACATAGGAAATGGTTTAAAACAAAATGTAACTTTCTTTTTGGTGTAGTTAGTACTTCATGTCTCATCCCTTAAAAGCATGGACTTTAAATTATGATACATGATTTTCTCATGGGAAATATTGGTTTATTGAAGTGCAATCAACAGAAACTTCATCCCATTCTTAGGACTACCAACGACCTTCTGAACCTCTTCTATTCAATCTCCATTTCCATGATGGCTCTTTCACCAGTAAACCTCTTCATGTCTGCCTTTTCATTCAACCTTACCTGCTGGCATTTTTCTCTTGCACCAGTTTCAAGTACCTCAAGAACTAGATTTTTGTTCCTTAGCTTGAAATCCTCCTGCCTAATGCTCTCCATTCTCAACTTTGAAGTTGATGATCCATGATAGAAAGGTTAGTAGAGTTACTCAATATAATTGGCTTTTGGGAATGCAACTTAAACCTAGCTTTGAGGATTAACTTAATTCAAGGTAAAGACACTTTAGACACTAGAGAAAGCCATCAAAGACTTTAAGATTAAAGAGATACTAGGAGCATGTTTTTTATCTAAGTTCCATATTGATGTTTTTATTTACTTTGCTTTTACTCTGTAGGTCCATCCATATGTTGCTACTGGGAACAAGAACTCTAAATTTGGCATTAGGAATGAGAAGTTGCAGTGGTTTCTGGATGCTGTAAAGGCACACCCTAATGAGTTGAAGCTTGTGGGGGCCCATTGTCATCTTGGGTCAACCATTACCAAGGTATCTCAAGTTCTCTACAACACTATGTTTATTTGATTTAACTTTCTGCAAATTTAGATCTGGTACAACAGAAATATTGAGGGCAGGTTTCACAGTGGTTAGTCCAATACTTTTCTGACAACCTAGTTGACTGATGCTAGATCAACCAGTACTTGTTGTTTGTTTTACAAGTTGTTTCCACTATTCTCCTATCAATCCTTCAATTTGGTTTATTTTTGCATTCATTAATATGTTTGTCTTAATCTAGTTGACAAAT